CATGTAGAGAGCCATTTTTTCCAGTACCATTTGTTAAAGAGGCTATCTCTCTTCCAGTGAATATGTTTGGCCCCTTTGTCAAAGATAAGGTGGCTGAGTCTGTTCATAAGGGCTTCAGCATCTTCCAATCTGTTCCATTGATCTTCAGGTCTATTTTTTTGCCAGTACCATGCTGATTTTATGACAGTAGCCTTGTAGTATAATTTCAGGTCGGGAATTGTAATGCCTCCTGCCTTGTCTTTATTGCCTAGGATTGCCTTTGCTATTCTAGGTCTTTTCTGGTTCCAGATAAATTTTAGGAAAGATTTCTCTAGCTCTGTGAGGTATGTTGATGGTAATTTTATAGGGATTGCATTAAATCTGTATAGCAATTTTGGGAGTATGGCCATCTTCACAATGTTGGTTCTTCCTTTCCAGGAGCATGGAATATCTTTCCATTTTCAGAAGTCTTCTACGATCTCCTTTTTCAGAGTACTGTAATTTTCCTTGAAAAGATATTTGCCTTATTTAGTTAGATGAATTGCAATGTATTTCCTTTTCCTCGGTGCTATTGTAAAAGGTATTGTTTCCTCTAATTTCCCTCTCAGTGTGTTTGTTATCTGTGTAAAGGAATACTATTGACTTTTGGGTATTGACTTTATAACCTTCTATGCTACTGAATTTCTGTATTCTAGTAGCCTCTTGGTGGAGTTTTTTGGGTCTTCCAAATAAAGTATCATGTAGTCTGCAAATGATGATAATTTAACTTCTTCTTTACCTATTCTTATTCCTTTTATTTCTCTCTCTTGTCTAATGGCTCTAGCTAATGATTCCAGAACTATATTGAACTGGAGTGGTGTTAGAGGGCATCCTTGTCTTGCACCAGATCTACGAGTAAAAATTTCAGGTTTTCCCCATTTAGATTTATGTTAGTCATTGGGTTTTCCTAAGTGGCTTTGATCAGATTGAAGTAGAGGCCATCTATTCCAATTTTCTGTAGGACTTTCAATGTGAATGAGTGTTAGACTTTGTCAAAAGCATTTTCTGAATCAATTCAGATGATCATGTGGTTTTTAGTTTTAGCTCTATTCATATAGTGTATTACATTTATAGATTTTCGTATATTGAGCCATCCTTGCATCCCTGGGTTGAATCCTACCTGCTCATGTTGTACGGTCTTGATGATTTGCCGTATTCTATTTGCTAGTATTTTATTGAGGATTTTGGCATCTATGTTCATGAGGGCGATTGGCCTATAGTTCTCTTTCTTAGTTGCATCCTTCGCTGGTTTTGGTATAAGTAGAATACTTGCCTCCAGGAATGATTTTGGGAAGATTGCTTCTTTTTCAGTTTCATGGAAGAGTTTGAGGAATATAGGGACTACATCTTCTGTAGAATTCAGCTGTGAATCCATCCTGTCCTGAACTTTTCTTTGTCAGTAGGTTTTTAATTACACTTCGTATTTCATTTGCTGTTATTGGGCTATTGAGTGGCTATATCTTGTCGATTCAGTTTTGGTAATTTGTCCCTTTCTAGGAAACTGTCCATTGCTTCTGTGTCTTCTATTCTGTGAGAGGAAAGATTCTCGAAGTAGCTATTGATAATCTTCTGAATTTCCACTGGGTCTGTGGTAATTACAACCTTTTTATTCCTTATTGCTTGTATTTGAATTTTTTCTTTCCTCTTTTTGATGAGGTTAGGTAGGGGCTTATTGATTTTATTTAATCTTTCATAGAACGAGCTTTTTTCTTTGTTAATCTTTGAATTGTTTTCTTCATCTCAATTTAATTAATTTGTGCTCTAATCTTTATGATTTCCTCCCGTCTTTGGGCTCTGGGTTTGGTTTGCTCTTCCTTTTCTAGTTGTTGAAGGTGCAGCATTAGG